TGCTGCTGCTGCTAGTCCCTTCAGAACTCAGTGTGAATTCCTGTCCAAATGGATTCCTGAGTGGACCTGAACTTCAGCAGTTGGAACAAAGACTTGGTGGTCTGTGGGCAGCTGTGCCTGTTGGTGGGTAAGGACAGAGACTGTGCTGGGCAGGACCCTCTTGCCCCTTGTCTCACCATTGCTGACAGTATGGGCCTCAGGAGAGTCCGCATGTCCTCCGATCTCATCTTCTCAATCTGATCCAGGATTCCCCAGCCCTGCAGGGACACCAAGTTTCTCTCTGTGCAACCTGGTCACTGTGCCCCATCTCCAGCCCCAGACAGGTGAGCACGCAGCCCCGAGTCCCCATTCTAGTGTGGCCAAACTAGGAGTCAATAGAAACACAAAGATTAACCTCAACCAGGTTGTTGTTATTAAGCGCTGTTGAGTCAGTTTTGACTCATAACAACCCTGTAAAGAGTTTCCATGTAGCAGCTGGTGGGTTTGAACTGCCAATCTTGTTAGCAGTTCAGTACTGATCCTAAAGTGCCAAACCAGGAGGCCAGGAACAGAAAAATGATTACAACGAAGAGAGAGAAGGAGAGACAGAAACAATTTGTTGCACGTTTTCAAAGAGATAGTACCAAAACCCACCAGTTAGGGGCTACAGGAAAAGTTGAACACATCAGATGTTTTTATATGATATACTTTGCAGAGCACACATTCTGGAATCTGGCAGCCTGAGTTCAAATCCCAGCTTTGATACTAAATGCATGACCTGGGACAGGTTACTTAAACTTTCCATGCCTCACTTGCCTAATCTGTACAAGACAGATGAGAATAATCTGTCTCACAGGGGTGTAGTGAGGACTAAGTGAATGCATCTCAAGGCCCTGCATAGGGTAGACACTACTGAAATATAAAGCATTAAAAATATTTATACTTCAATACCTAAACAAGAAAATGACAAATAATCCAATTTTTAAAATGAGCAGAGGACATGAACAGACACTTCATCAATGAAGGTATTCAGGAGGCCAAGAAACAGGAAGAAATGCTCACGATCATTAGCCATTAGATTGATGTAAATGAAAATAACAATGAGATATCACTGTGAGATATCTCTGTAAAGATAAATGTGCAATAATAATAAAGTTCAAAAACACAGAAAACAACAAATGTGGGTGAGAATATGGAGAGAGTGAATTCTTCATACACTGCTGGTGGGGCTGTAACATGGTGCAACCACTGTGGGTTTGAGGAAGTCTGGCACTTCCTCATATAGTTAAAATAGAAATACCATATGACCCTGCAATCCCTCTGCTTGGTATATATCCTAGAGAAATCAGAGCTATGCCACAAATAGACACATGCACCTCCATGCTCATGACAGCACTGCTCACAGGAGCAGATTGATGGAAAGAACCTAAATATCCATCAAGGGGAGAATAGATCCTCTAACAGTGTTAAATACACACAATGAATACTATACAATGGTAAAGAATAACAATGAATCTGTGAAACACTTCATTACATGGTGAACCTGTGTGATATGATGCTGAGTAAAATCTGTTAATCACAAAAGGACAAATATTTCATGAGCACATACTATTATAAAATATAAAGAAAAGGTTTTAAAAGAAGCATTCTTACGTGGTTACCAGCGTGGGAGGAGAAGGAAAGGCAAATTACTACCCTGAGTGTTGTTGTTGTTGTTAAGTGCCTTCAAGTGTTCTGACTCACAGTGACCCTGTATAGTGTTTCTGAGGAGTGGCTGGTGTGTTTGAACTACCAACCTTGAAGTTCAAAACACTTGTTAACTTGAGTGACAGGGAAGGTAAAACAATAAGAGACAGATTGGCTGAAGAATGATGAAGGCAGGGTAAGACACGGGGAGTGCAAGAGATAAAAGGAACAGAGGTAAATACTGTTATATAAAAAACCCTGCAAAAACCATGATCTGCATATGAGCTCATACAGACTGCTGGGGTATTAAGGGAGAGTGGGAGTGCACCCACTACTATATAAATAGGTTTGACAGAGGACATTTGTACAGGTATTTGCCTTTACTGCAAATATATCCATGAATGTGATGGAACATACAGGGAACAAAGTTATTAATCATTTTTGACGTAACCAAACACCTTGAGGGAATGAAGTTCAGGCCAATGGTCTAGGGGGACCCTTCAGGTCTGGAAATGAAGTCACTGACATGGCCAAACAATATGCAAACAATACAGGAGTAAGTGGCAGTAGGGAGGTAGAACTATCTTAGATTAAACAACCATTTAAGATCAAAAGGCAACATTTACTAAAGACAAAGTTCAGTACAGTTAGGAAGGAAGGAGGAGGAATGGAAACAGGAAACAGGGAGAATGGGGTGGGGGGAGATAAGTGATGTTACATTGTGTGGCTTGCAATCAATGACGTGAAGCAAAACATGTATGAATTGCTGAATGGAAAACTGATTTGCTCTGTAATCTTCATTTACAATAAAAAGTTTTAAAAAAATTTAAACAAAGTTATTTTCATGATAACTAGGTTCTTTGTTAAATGTTATGAAAACAGGAACAATGCATTCACAGATGAGTAAGCACAAAGAGTGCATACCTAAAGAATGATGCGAATCTTCACTAAGAATTAAAGAACTAAATTTAATCCACAAGTAACAAAACTTTAAACAATGATGGTACATGAAATCAATATACAAATATCAATTGTGTTCAACACACAATAGTCCAAAAGAGAAAACAATCCAAATGCCTATCAATTGATGAATGGATAAACTAAATGTGTCATATCCATATAATGAAATAAATATTGTTTAGTCATAAAGAGGAATGGAATACTAATATATGGTACAGCATAGAATAACGTTGGAAACATCACGTTAGGTGAAAGCAGTTAAACATAAAAAAAACACACATTGTATGGTTTCATTTATATGAAATATCCAGAATGGGCAAATCCATAGTGACAAAAAGCTGATTAGTAGATATCAGGGGCTGAAAGAAGCGGGAAAAGGAATGACTGCCAATGGATACAGGGTTTATCGCCTGTCAGACAATTAATGGATTCGCTTATAAAATAAAAATATCAGGCATGAGCCCTTATACAACTGTATGAGAACAAATGGTCAATAGTTACACAAGAGCCAAGATGATAAGGAAAGATGGGCAAGGAAGCTGGACCAATGGAAACAGAACAAATAGAATAGGAGCAATGAGAATGCAGACACATTACAAAAACTATAACCAATGGCATGGAAAAATCTGTATAGAATTTGGTAAAGAGAAACCTAGTTTTCTGTGAAAACGTTCACCTAAAAAGCACAATAACATAAAAGATCATGAAGTAGAAAAACCTTCTGGGAAGTTCTACCCATGTTGCAGAGATGGACCTCATTGCAGATAAAAACAATAATTGCACAGCTTTGTAGAGATACTAAAAAACACTGAACTTATATACTTTAAAAGAGGGAATTTTCAGTATGTGAATTATGTCTTAATAAACACATATGCATATAAAGATGATACACAAATACAAATAAGATTGTATTAAGATCCTGCAGACTCTGATTGCTGGCGGCAGCATAAGTTGGTACAGGAGTTTCAGAAAATGCCAAGGCCACACATGAGAAGTGGAGTGGTCTCCATGAGAAGGATGAGTTAGTTGCCACGGTGAAAACCTCCACCACAGGTATTCAGTAAACTCAGCATCCAATACCAAACAAGAACCCCACTGCCATCAAATGGATTCTGACTCATCACATGAGGGATATTCAGTGTGGTGTTTGCTTTATACATCAGAAGACCACCTGGTACAAAAGATTGGTCCCCAAGAAGGAAGCACTTGCTTTGTGAGAAAGAAGCGCTCACTGGGTGATCCTCAGAAAGTCCCTTAAACCTCCTTAGCTTGGACTTTCTCACCTATCAGATAGAGGAGTCCCCACTTCACAGTGCTGCGGTGACAGAAGACTGACCAGGGGAGGGCATGGGCATTGATGGGCACAAGCAGGAGGACACTCACCTGGGGGACAAGCCAGCTAACCTCGTGATTGTTGACACCTAGGAGGAAGGGCACGTGGTGGAACTGTCTCTCCCTCAGGAGCTCCTTGGGGCTTTTAGGGAAGAAGATGCCATCAACAGTAGAAACCATGATACTAATTTTCTGTAGGAGAAAATAAGGCAGGGAGAGGCATGCAGTCAGGGCGCAGCCTCAAAGAATGGGACCTCGGGGGCCACCTGAGCTGCTGAGGTTGGAGGGAAAGTAAATGGAGGCAGACCACCAGGATCTGGGGTCCCAGAAGGCACTGGGAATGCAGGTGGCTGGATGGGCTTGCTCTCAGGATTGGGGGTGGTCCCACTCTGGCCTCAGGAATAACTGGACTCTCAGCTCCTTCCCCTCAAGGTGGGCTACCCCAGGCCCCAATCTAGACCCCTAACACCACAGGAGTTAGGACTTCCACTATGCCATTGCCCATCATGGTCCCCAAAGAGGTGGGCCCACCTGCTTGGACTCCTTGGTAAGAATCATCTCTTCACCTTTCTTCTGCCGAAGGCACTGCAGCATCTCAGCTGTGGAGTTGGAGCTGCAGGCCAATGAGTTTGCGAAGCCCTGGGGACAGCCAACAGTGTCCTGCCTCCCTTACAGACATCACCCCACCCCCACAGAGAGGGGACACCTATAGGTGACTGGGGTGGTGATATCAAAGATCGCTGTCCACCAGTGTGGGTGATCCCCAGACACTTTGTGTGCCCCCAATTCTGTCATACTGTCATGACCCATGTGGGTCAGGTCCCCCTTGCCTCTCTGAGAACAGTGATAATATGTAGCTAATTCTGTCCCTAGAGGCAGAATGAAGAAGGAAATAGGAAGGGCTTGTTGAGGGAGAACCCCAGCAATGCCAGCTGAAGCCTAGGGGATGGGGTCAGGCTCGGGTAGGGACAGAGGCAGGGAGTCAGTGACACTAGAAGCTGGAGTGTAGCACTAGGCTGCTCATGGGCCTTGAAAGGCAGGCTGGGAAAGTTACAACCAGCAGGAACTCTGGGAGTATTTGGAGAAGGAGGGCATGGTGGAGCTGTGTTTTTCTGTGTTTAACAATAACATCTTTGTCAGGTAGCAGGTTGACTGGGAACATGGGCCTCCCTCATGGTTCTTGGGGCAGATAGGGCTGCTCCCCGAGGCCCCACCTAGGAGTATCTGATGCACACGGGTGGCCTTTCTGAACTCCCATAGGGTGTATGTTTCCTTCATCCTAGGAGGACGTCTCTGTCAACAGAGAAACCATCCGGGATCCCAGGGCCAATATGTGGTAGGAGAGAATGACAGGGTGAAGAAGACACAGACCTGAGTCAAGGAAAGTGGGTCAGAATTCAGGAACCCTGGGAAGGTGATGGCCCCGCTCTGGGCTATGGCTCTGTGGAATAGCCCCGCAGTGAGCGGGGACAGGACCTGGTGCAGCAGAGAACACACAGTGTCAGAGGAGGACAGGGGAGCTGGGTCTTCGGGGACACAGAAGCCTCCAGTTACTGCCCCTGCCCCCACCTGAGAGCAGACTCACCAGTGCAGAAGTCATTAGGGCACCTGCAGAACTCCCAAAGATGGTGACACAGTTGGGGTCACCCCCAAAGGGGCTGATATTTCCCTGTACCCAGCGCAGAGCAGCCACCACATCTAGGAAGCCCCAGTTTCCTGGTGCATGTCCATCCCCAGTGCTGGTGGCAGGGAAGGCACTGGTTAGCACAGGCAGACTCCTCTGTGCCCAGTGTCTGGTCTGGCTTTGAGCCATGCTAGGCATGCACATGCTCCCATGTGGTATGGGCACGCCTGGCTGGACAGACAGCCAAGACTAGCTCTTTGGTGGTTTCCAGAGCTGTTCTCTGTCCCCACACCACACTGGGTTCATGACCCAGTCCAGGAGCCCAAACCCTCTGCCCAAGGGACAAAGTCGTTATCAACTCTGGCTTTGACTGGCCTTCTTCCCCAGAGTGGGGCCTCAGAGAGCACCCTTCCCTGTCCATGATGCAGAGAGAGAAGACCCTAAGTCCACCGTCCCCATCTGAGAGATTCCCAATCAGTCTCTGGCCCCCACCTCTCCTGAGATCAGTCCATGTCTCCTCCAGGGCTGCCTCTTACCTGAGGAAGCCAAGGAAACCAAGGCGGTACTGGATCGTGACCACCACCACGTCCCCGAAGGCTGCCAAGGCTGACCCGTCGTGAGAGGTGGCAGCACCAACCATCAGCGAGCCCCCATGAATCCACACCATGACCTACAGAGATGGCCGTGGAACTGACCTCAGGTCCTGGGGTTCCATTTTGCCATCTCCCAGCCAGGACAAGGTCAGGAGCTCTGGGGCAGGTAGGGGACAGGGATGGAGAGTGGAGAGGGGACAGGCTGGAAGGACAGAGCTGCATGGGAGGACAGGGCTCTCACAGGCCTCCCAGTCCCTGCAGTGGGTCCATCTGGACTGTAGATGTTGAGGATCAGGCAGTCTTCAGAAATGGAGAACATCTGGTGCTTCCCGTTCAGC